TAGGGGAATCCAATCAACAACGTTAAGGATAACACTTGATTAAGGCTTGTGAGTAATTTAGGATGCAGATAAAAGAAAGAAGTTGGTACCCGAGTCCCTTCTTTGTGCCCCCAGTTTGTGCTTGTTTAAGGCAGGATACACACCAGTAGAAAAAAGCAAATCTCGGGGAGAAGCAATGCATCTCCAGAGGGCAGGGGGACTACATTTTCTTCCTCTACTTTGCAAAAAGCATTAAAAAAACCCCAAAAAAACCCACCCAAAAGTTTCCTCCTCAGGTATTTCTATACAACCTCCCTCAGAAGAACCCTGGATATATTTTACCAGATATTATTTTAACCACAGTTTTACAAGCTTCCGTTGTACCAAGTCCCTTGAGCAGCTTAAAGCTAAAGATGCAAGACAGGACCAGGGAACCAAAGGAGACAGAAGGATCTCTGGAAGTGGACTGCAACATCAGAGGACACCCAGAGGACAGCAAACATAATGAAGGCTCTGGAATAGCAGAGACAGTGAATCGCTCCCATAAAGGAGATGAGTAAGAGGAGACGTGAGACAAACACAGAACATACTGAATATTCAAGAGACACCATTTTCCCGTTCTCATAACACTAGACCAAATTAATTTCAATTAAAAACGGTAGGAAATTCAAAACTACAGTGAAAGAAAGTGCTTTTCATGTTACACATAAATAGAAATAGGTGAGACTGTGAATCTATCAAGATTCAAAAAGTTTTAGAAATAGGTGAGACTGTGAATCTATCAAGATTCAAAAAGTTTTAGAAATAGGTGAGACTGTGAATCCATCAAGATTCAAAAAGTTTTAGACCCCTATGGACCTCCAAATTGATACCGTACTGTACACTGGGACAGCAAGTCCCTCCCAATTCAGACCAGTCCTTAGCACAGGAGGCAAGACCCAGTGTTGAAACAGGTTGATCTCAAGGTAATCCCATCTATTTTGATGAGTCCGATGTAAAGCAAACCCCCTACAATCACTGGCAAGACAAATAATGCCAAGAAGAAATCCCGTCACTCAACTCTCAGCCACGTTTAAACCATGTTTAAAACCAAAGATATTTCACGATCCATCTCTGTGTTGTACCTTTACACCAGCCAGAGCAGGTTTTTTATCAACCCAGAACCATATCCCAAATATGGCCCATTCTGAGCAACAGCTCCAGACACTGAGTACAAATTAGATTCGTGCAAAGTAAATCCAAGTCCACTGTTCAAACAACATCCATTGAAGTAAAAGAAAAAGGCTGTCTGCACATTAATTTATGGATAGAAGGAAGAGAAAAAACATAATTGTCCATTTTTTTAAAAATCAAACTCATTTGTTAAAAAAAAACACCCCAGAGAAAGAAAAGAGGGTGTTTCAAAGCCCCTGATTTTTCCTTTTAGAAAGAAAACTTTAGTGCTTTTATTCCCAACTCATTAACCCTCTTAATCACATACCATGTAAATCACACCATTTTCATGATTAGGTATTATTTTGCATTTCTGGTGCTGGGCAGAACCACCTCATTTCAGCAATAATCCACCATCCAGATGTGATTAGAATCCATAATCCTTATGTAGCTTTAACCCACACACCATATATATATATCTCTATATATATATATATATGATATACAGCAATCAGCCCTGCTGAAGATTGGATTAAAAAAGACTGAAAACAGTTGCAAAGTGTGGTTTAGGAATAAATTGCTGTTGCTGAAGACCTGAAAAGCTGCTCGAATGGCAAGGCCAGGAAGGACAAATAGTAAGGAGTGGTCAGTTGAGCAGTTACTGGTGGACACTCCTCCCATACCACTAAATTTATCCCTTTGTATCCCCACCCTGTATCCATAAGGAAGGAATATTTGTCATTTTACAGTATGAAATTACAGGGACAGGTACTATTTTTACTGCATATATATCATCCAGCGTGAGTTAGCTAGGAGAGACCTCCGAAATTCATACTTGCAGGGTTAGTGGGGAGGAAGAGGGGAGGGTTGCTCTGCAATATATTAAGATTACTTAATATTTTACATCATAAAACCCAGCAGGACAGTCATGGTTTCGAGACACTCTTTCTTCCACTCTTCTCAAAGCTTTTTGAAAAACTTTGGAATTGGGAAGGGATGTGCCCTATCGCTGACCTCCTCAGATGTGTTCAGGGCCATAAAGAAATAACTGCAGTTTTCCTTATTGATGGTTTTCTTTGGAAATCTCCCTCCCGGCTGGAGGGAAGGGCACCGTTGGGATCTGGCAATGCCTCGCTGCCCTCTGCTGTCTGCACTCCACAGCTTCACACACACAACAAACCCCACAACAGCCTCCCGGCCACAAAATCCCTCTGAAAAACCAAATTCAGGCACAAACCAGAGGACCCCGCTTGGAGATGCGGTTCTTTGGCAGATTGACGCTTCTAATAATTTCTAGAAAAGATCTAATTACCAGGCAAGCCTCATCCCAGTAAGATACTGCCCAACAAACAAAACCTATCTCTTACCCCGAAGGGTGCCAGCAGAAATTGCTTCAAATTAGCCAAACTGCCCTGAAAACTTACATGCAAACTACAGGGATAAGAAGCAGCACAGGCTCACACAACTGTCCCACAGCTTCAGGTGGCTTTCTGAGTCTCAGGAACGTTGGCACGTGAGCAGCTGTAGCTCAGCACTAATACAGACACCACAGAAAGCCCCAAACTCATTTCAAGATGAAACCAATTTACATAAAAATGGGAAAAAACATGACCCAGCACAACTCCCTGCAGGCACCAGCAACTCCAAACCCACCATTTACACCCAGGAGATGGGGCCCCATTAGGAAAGCTGAAAAGAAACCAAAGTGTCTAATTCCTGTTATATATAAAAACTAGAAAGATGTCATTTTTTTGGTAACATTAACGAAGGTTGTCAGCAGGAGACACAAGTGCAATTACACCCCAGGGGTCTGCAAACTGACCAGAGCTGGGAATTGCCATCAGAAAAGGTTTTTATCACTGTGACCTTTTAGGGACTTCAGGGAAAGGAAATATTTCGTTGAAGATCCCGAAACATTTCTGATCCCTCTGCGGGGCTCATCTCACCGTGACAGGAATCCTGGAGGTCACTCGACAAGACACCAGCCTGGTTACACCTCACAGGTCCTCAAGCATAAAAACAACGTGCTAAATAAAAAAAAAAAAGGCAGAAAGGGAGAGAAGCACACGCCAAAGCCATCGTTAAACTTCCATCGTGTAAATGCTTTATGATATAATCTAATTACATCAACAAATACACAAAAGCTAAACATTTGTCTACAGTAGTAGTGCCACAGACTAATACTCAGAAAACCAAACCATTTGTAAGTTTACACAGTAAACGGTAATTAATCCATAGCACAGTCTAACACGAAATTTGGTAAAACCCAATAGCATATAAATTAGCAACTAAACCAGTTAATTACAAGTTTAAGTGCTCTTAGGGCTGTACTACTGGTTGAAAACAAGAGTGCCCGTAACACAGTACTGGAGATGAGAACAAAACCATTAGAGCTCTGCATAAGAAATGTCTGTATTATGTCTCAAATATAAATTATGTCTCAAAATGAGGTATAATAGAAATTACCAGAAGCTACACGCGTGGAAATTAGATTATTCCTAAATTGTATTTTATTAAAAGTCTTGTTGTGGACTTCATTGTGCATCTGCAGAGATTCACAGCTGAGATGAGTCTCCCCGACACACAGCCCCGTTACGTGGTGGTACCACAATCCCAGTGTGGCCACTCCAAAGCACTGCACAGTGACCTCCTGACAATTATACTTATGCAAAATCAGTTAAATTGTTGACAGTTGAAATCATTTTAATTCCACTTCTTACCAAAGCTCTACTGTACCCAAAAAAGACCAAAACCTCTGTCTTAGGGAAGCTGCTGAGCCACAAATAGGCAATTGCTGGGAAAAGACCTGTGTTTGCCCCATTCCTTATCCTTTTCCTTCAGCATCAAATAATTGTCCACACTGGAGATGAAGTAAAACCTGGAGGCAAGTTTCCATGTAAGCTGTTCTTCAGATGAGGCACAACTTGGTCCAGCAAGAACAAACCTAGAGGTCACACACACACACAGAACTACCTTTGTACCTTAGCGCTGCCCAGAAGAATGATTTCAAAATATATATATTTTTTTTGAGGTCATCACTCTCTGAAAACTCCAGGTTTAAGAAGCTCCAGGTGGACTGCACCAAGTGGGTTTCCTCAGAGGATGAGAGCTCTGGAAGTTGCTTCTCTCCCTTTCACTGATCCTCTTCTTTTTCTGGCCCAAACTTCTGCAGCGCAGATCGTTTTAATACCACAACCAACCACGAACCTGAGGACACCAGCAAGGAAGGGCCACGACATTCAACTGTCTGGATGCAACGTGGAGGGATTTCTTTTGGTTTGCTGGTTTATTGTAGCTTTTTTTGTTAATTTTATACCAGAACACCTCAAGCAACGTAAGCTTATAAAAAGATTTCAGGTACAAGGAGGGAAGGGAAGAGGAAAGGCTTTCAGAAGGTAGATTCCTCCAACATCACCTTCTGCAAGTAGCTGGGTGCTTGTTAGAGGCAGCTCGTGCAATTACTGACCTGTCTTTTTTGTACAGCATCAGCTGGAGGGGAGAAAGGCTGCAGGTTAATAAACCCCTTGTTTTACACCCATTTTGCCCTTGCTAGTGCAGCTCTAAGACTCCAGGAGGTTTGTTTAAAGCACACAGTGTCGGTCATGCTTCATTCCTAAGCTAGTGCAGCTCTAAGACTCCAGGAGGTTTATTTAAAGCACACAGTGTCGGTCGTGCTTCATTCCTGCACGGTGAAGGTGGTAGGAATTTTCTCACCAACTTCAGAAGGAAGAGATATGAACCAATGCTTCTGAAAAAAAGAAATTAAAAAATATCCCCTTTCCCCCTATAATAAAGCCCAACTTTTAATTCAGGAGCATGCTTAAGGTAGGAAAAGTTATTTTGTGCATTTAGAAGAGCATAAACCAGAATAAAATTTAATATTTATTAGAATTTCTTCCAGTAACAGCATTCAACATCTTAACAAACCAGGTTGTGAAGGCTTAAAAAAACCTAGGATTACAAAAAAAGTTAAAATAAGTTGTTCCTTATATTTAATGGCAAAGGGGGAATTTTCTATTTAAAAACAAACTTGTCATATAAACAGTATTACTTTAAGAAAATGTGATTAATATGATATGTCATTTCCAGAATGGATTACACAGTGTATGAACACCAATCGGAATGGAACAGAGCAGGGGGAACACACGACCTCCCCCCCTTAAAAAAAATCTCAAAGTGGGCTTTTTGAAGAAAGGGGAGGAGAAGGACCTTTCCAGTGAAATAACTTAGGATTCTGATACCACGCAATGGACGAAAAACGCAGGAGTACAGGAGACATTACATGACACCCTCATTACAACACCCCTTCCAGTCTGGTTATACAGTAAATAAAGTTAGTAAAGTGCATCTTTTGAAGACTTGTCTAGTGAAAGAGCTTTTCCCATATATAAAACACAACACAAGACGTGCAGGAACAGTTAAATCATAGTGTAAGTTTTTAAAAACTAATTATTTTTTTTTAACTTTTCATTCGCTAGAGAAGAAAAGTTTTAACTGCAGTAGTGTTCACATTATTCTCCCGTGGGATGCATCCTCGTGTGCTTTTATTACTTGGCAAATCTTTTAAATACGGAGCATGGCAAAAAAAAAATAAATGACGCAGTTTTAAGCAAGTGCTTCTCTCAGTGGAACACAACTCTTCACGGGCAGAAGGGCCACACATGCAGCACAACCAGGTTAGATTTTGGGAAGCTTTGGTGCACTAACGACGGGATTGGTCTCCTGCAAATACCTTCTCCCTGCACTCTTATAGTCGTAGGTGCAGGCGTGAGTCTCCGCATAGCGGTGCGTCGCACAGAAGTTGTTTCCACATCTGAAGAATCAAGAACATGAGAAGTTACAAGCTTTTTAGAAGCTTTTAACTCTCTTGACATGCTGGCAGCCCCGTGGCATAACCATGTCTTGTCTATTTGACATAACTGCTTAGATTCTAATCAGCTGTGACTGAGAACATTAACTGGTGGGGTAATCAAAATGACGTTTTTGTAACTGAACGTTGCGGTTTTGACCCAACAGTCTCTCCAGCTGGGAAGTTAAGCTGTACTCCTGGAGCCAGCTAGCAAGGATCAAACACTTATAAAATAAGAATGATGGGCTTTGATTTACTTTATTTCTTTTTAAAGACCTCACACATCAGAGGAGAAAAACCACAGAACTAAAATAATACCAGGTAAAATGCACATAATGCATTTCATTTCAGAACCACCCCATCATTGGGACACCAGAATGGATGTTTAGTTCAGCACAACCTCTGCCTGGCACAAACTCAAATCAGTCATTTGAGATTAATAAATACAGATTTAGCTCCAAAGACACCAGATGAACTATCTATAAGGAACGTGATTTCCTGTATGACTGGATAAGGGAGCATCTTTCCAGTATCAGTTGCAATTTCAATGAGTTAAGATGATTTTTGCCTTCAAACCCGAGAGCTCAGCAGCTAAGGCTCCTAACAGGGGAAAAGCAGACTGTGGCTGTTGTATCTGAAATAAACAAGTGCTTTAAGTGGAGACTGGTATTGTTGTCCTCTTGCCTCATTATTTGATAAAGTTGCTACTTTAAAACACTGACATCATTCAAAATCAGAATTCTCTTGAAATGGATTAGGCATTACTGCTCCAGCTTAGTGTCTCTCTATTAGACAATAATCCTCTGTTTAGCTGTCTACCTGTCTGGGTTGGTAATAAACTCTGCAGCTGTTCCTGAGGCTTCATGTGCCTGGCAATAAACATTTTTTTCTTTGGTTTTTGGTCCCATAATCACTAATTCCCTCGTAAAACTGTATTCTCTATTTGGTTCATGCTCCCTTCTAGTCAAAGGTCATATGGTTGCTGCTTTTGAAACTCAAACGAATGCTATTCTTGGAGACGTGTGATTTCCTCCCCCTCTGCCCCCCCCTTTTTTTCTGTGCTTCATTTTTAACCTTAAGCAAGCTGCTTAGTTACTTCTAGAAGTGCTCGTAGCTCTTTGCTCAGCAGGAAAAGTGTGCTGTGTTCAAGACTGTTTGTAAAAAATCAAAGACTGAAGAGTCAGTAAGGAGTCACCCTGGAACTCTCCAACACAACTCCTCACTGGCAGAGCCTTCTTGGTTTTGCTGTTGGTTGGAATGAACCCAGATCAGCTTCAAAACTTTGCAGAACATGTATCTGTAGCATGTTCACCCCACACCAGAATAAAATGTCATGGTTCTCTTTCTGTAATCACGTTCTCGTTCTAGTCAAAGGTCATATGGTTGCTGCTTTTGAAACTCAAACGAATGCTATTCTTGGAGACGTGTGATTTCCTCCCCCTCTGCCCCCCCCTTTTTTTCTGTGCTTCATTTTTAACCTTAAGCAAGCTGCTTAGTTACTTCTAGAAGTGCTCGTAGCTCTTTGCTCAGCAGGAAAAGTGTGCTGTGTTCAAGACTGTTTGTAAAAAATCAAAGACTGAAGAGTCAGTAAGGAGTCACCCTGGAACTCTCCAACACAACTCCTCACTGGCAGAGCCTTCTTGGTTTTGCTGTTGGTTGGAATGAACCCAGATCAGCTTCAAAACTTTGCAGAACATGTATCTGTAGCATGTTCACCCCACACCAGAATAAAATGTCATGGTTCTCTTTCTGTAATCACGTTCTTTATTTCCTAATGTCTTGCCTTCTGATACCTCGCATTTCTTGATTTTCCTGGAAGAACACACACCTCAACAGCACAACAGGTACAACAGTCCTGCACTTTAATTCCTAGAGTTTTGCTGAACTGAGAACTGCAACTTTTTTGAAGGTTGTCTTTTGATTTTGCTAGGCTTAAAGAATACCACGCAGTATGGAAAACCTTTTGGTTAACCCAGCCATCAATTTTAAACAACAGCTGGTTAAATGCTCAGCCTACCTGCACTCATAGCTGGTTGCCAATCCAGTTTTCTTGCCACAAAGAAAGCAATGCTTTGTAATTTTCTTTTTTGCTTGAATTGAGCCATTCACAGGTGGAAGATGGGTTGCTTCACCTGCTGTCAGAAGTAAAGAGACAGCAAAGACATTTTATTTTTACTTATTCCTGATCACAAACCAGTTAAATGTTATCTTTTGAAACTCAGATTAATTTTGCATTTCTTAGGATACTTCAGGTGGGAACCCCAAACAGAGAGGGAAAAAAACCCCCAAAGCTGAAAAAGAAACCACACCTCAAGCCTATGAACACCTTTGGGAGAGGCAGCACAACGCAGGACTTAAATCCGTTATTTTTTAATGACTGTTAAAAGTTCACATAAGCAAGTTACAGAAGGAATCAAGAAACACATCTCCTAATGGTTTTCCCAAATGCAAAATGAAAACACATGATGTGATTGAGAAAGCACCACACACAATGGCTTTCTGAAGAATCCATGGGGCATTCAAGCACCTCCCATCTCGTATATTCAGTAGCTAATAATTCAAGTTTACCAAATAAATCCTGCAACATTTTAAAATCTTGCTGGTAAGTCCATATTTGCAAGAAAAGTACATTGTTAGACTACAAGCCTCTACTTAGCTGGATGGTTTCATCATAAATAAGCTCTTTGTCCACAACTTGCTTATGTGTATTTCCCAGGACAGTGAAAGTCAGCAGTGCATCCTCTCAAACATCCTCTCAGTGCTTCCAGCGCTATTTTTGTCAGGATGCTCCCAAAAGGTAACCTCCTGAGCTCACAAGTATTTTTTATCCAGTGCACCTTTAATCCCAACAGCCATTTCTCAGCTGAGATACAGCAGGGGACATTCAATAGTCACACGTGGCAGTCACTGCTACTGACCAGTGCTATCCCATTGCTCCCCAGCATGGAAACTTCCAAGCCATCTTTGTCCCTGCTATCCATTTCATTATCTAAAAGCATACTATTGCAGGAGCATCACTCAGCCCAGTCTATGAAAAAGACAGAGCTTGAAGAAAGTCCCTGCTGTGGGCCACACTTAAACAATAAAAGCCATCACAGAATCATAGAATGGTTCAGGTTGGAAGGGACCTTCAAGATCATCCAGTTCCAACCCCCTGCCCTGGGCAGGGACACCTCCCACCAGACCAGGTTGCTCCAAGCCCCATCCAGCCTGGCCTTGAACCCCTCCAGGGATGGGGCAGCCACAGCTTCTCTGGGCAACCTCTTCCAGGGTCTCACCACCCTCACAGGAAAGAATTTATTTCTAGTATCTCATCTAAATCTCTCCTCTTTCAGTTTAAAAACATTCAAAGCTGCACACCCTGGTGCGAATTGAAGGCACAATCCACAATTTTAGCAGCTTTGCAACTGCTATTTGAAGATCTATTTTCTAGCTCATTCTCTATACCTATATTTTAAAATCCTGGAATACACGCCTGCTCTTTTTTCCTAAGGTCATGCAGAAAGAAGACCTGCAAACTGCAAGTCAAAGATGGGAAGAAGAAAAGTTGATTGCGCTGGAGAATCTTTAGCTCACTGTCTTAAGAGTTTTAAAAGCATTACTCTACACAATTCCATTCCTCCCAAGAGAATTAATCATGTAGGAAATCAATATTCAGGCACAACACATCCATTTTTTCAGTAGATGCCAAGCAATAAGCATTCCATAGTTACTAAGACTAGGGTAGAAAGAACGATGCCCACCACAAAAAAAGGAGAAAAATCTGCATGGTATCAATAATCTTCAGCATCCACGGCCTTATTGCTTCCTCCCCACTTTTCTTTTGCCAAATCCTTCTGGCTCAGGCTGTAGTTTTAAAGACAATGCTCCTGATAAATTTTGCTCTGATTTTAGTACACTCAGAAGTATTCACAGAACTGACTTTTTGGAAACTTCAGAGCAGAAAGGGATGTTTCTGTCTACAGATGACACGCAGGATTCAGTAAGTATTAAAAAAAGCTAGGAAAGAGTCACAGGTTTGTCGACCTAAGATGACATCTATATGTTAAAGAGTTGCTTAAAATATTAAAAGTTTTACCATGCTATAGAGGTGTAAGACAGCAAGGACTTTGAAAGACATATGCCTTACAAAGATGTATGAGTCTTGTCCTTGATATACGTCATATATCAGGAAAGACTAAAGAGTTGTCTGCAATTATTATTTAAGCCGCTTTACTTACCTACTCTTTTCCCTACAGCTGCAATACTTCCATTCATTCCATGCCCATGCGTAGACTAAAAAAAAAATAAAATTTCCACAAGGAATTACTCACAGATGGAAATTAAATAAAAAAAAAAAATCAGGCAAATCTGGCATCAGCTGATTTGAAACCAATGTTGTATCAATCAACGTCCGAGACGACTTCTGTACAAACCAGTAAAATCCCGCAATGCTCAACTGCTCAAAAATGACTATTTAATAGTCTCCCTGTACTTCACAGCCCACCAAAACAACAATGTACATTGGAGATCTGAAGCTAGGCACGTATGGTGCCAGTCACAGGGCAAACTTTGGAATAAATGACAATTATGAGCAGCGGAAGTCAGATGACACTTCACAGACACTCGTAACTCCATCATTACAATAACTAGCAATTTTAGTTGTGAACTAAACAGCCACTTCAATTTCTATCAAAAATTATTTCTAGGGCCTGTTTACATAAACAGGCAGTTAAAATACCAACAGGAATTTAGAAAATAGTTCTAAGACTATCAGGGATTTAAGTTCATATCCCCCTCCCCATCTGCCTTCCCCGAAAAGACACACACACACCAAAGTACAGTTTTCGTAATGCCAGTAGCAGAAAAGACAGGAAAACTTCAATTTCTTCGGAAGCATTAGTACTCACTAGAATATATTCAGCAGCTTCATTTGGAGGAGCAGTTTTCCTAAAGCTTTCTTCCTGAAAATGTGGAAGGTTTGTAGGTAGTGCAATACCAGAAGTCCGAAACCTGCCTGTCCCACAGGAACTCTGTAAACTTTCCCTGGTTGCGCTTCGGGCCAGCGAAGCCAAAAATCCCAAGTTACTCACAGAACTCCCAGGTTCTTTGGATGCCTTGGTAGCCACCTCCGTGACGTCCCTGGCCTCTGCTTTAGAAACGACATCAGGTCTTTTGCCAAGGGACTCTACTTTCATGCTACGAAATCTAGTAGTCCTAGAGAAAGAGGAGTCTGCTATACTCCGCACTTCCAGCGACCGCAGCAGGTTGGGGGAGGCTGGAGATCTCAAGTTCCCAGCCTCGAAGCATTTGGGTTGGGTTTGTGGTTTGAGAGAACCGTGCCGTGCCACCTGCGCCGAATACCGGAGAGGTGACAAAAGCAGGTTTTTCTGGGGACTGAGCTCCCGGGTGCTGAGCAGCCCAGCCCCCATGGCCGTAGTGCTCAGGACTTTGCTGAGGGGTTTTCTGTGCTGCTCCACGACCTTCGGGTCTTCATCTCCCTCCGACAGCTCGAGTTCTGGGTTCCCCTTTCCCACCTCGTAGATCTCACCGCGCTGTTGGGCGGCGCTCGCTTCCGTTAACAAAGCAAAAGCATCCGTTTCGGGTAAAAGTTTTTCTTCAGTCCCATAGAGCTCTACGTTGGTTAGATTGGGAAACAAAACAGCGTCCTCGCTCACTGAGGTCACGTTTTCTGATGCTTTTTCTGAATTTGCAGGAGTCAGAATGCTGTTTGTAGGTAGTTTTGCACTCTCTAGTTCAACGCGAGATATTTTGGGTGGCAATCTGATGCTACTGACCGACTGAGACCAAGAGCTGCTCTGCCAAGTGTCATCTTCCTTAAGAAAGTCGTTAGCTGGGGACGGCATCGTTCTACCAGCAGTGGCCAAAGTAGCCAACGCCGAAAGTGCGTTTTGGGAAGACTCTGCAGGATAGGAATTCCCAGGAGGAGGTAGGCAGGACTGGCCAATATGGGGGAGCACTCTCAAAAAGCGGTGACGAGTAGCAGCCACTGACCCACCAGACGGTCGAGGAGCCATTGGAGGACGAGGTTTCACCTTGACAGTTTTCTTAGGCTATTTTAAAAAAAACCAAACACACAAAACCCACACAGAACACCAATTAGTATTTGAATTATGGTTGCATTCAAAGATCATACTCCCAGAAATTCAGACACCGTAAGGCCAGAAAGGGCCAAATCATTTTTTCTACTCCCTCATCTGTTACCAGCCATCAAGGCTTCACCTAAATATCCGAATAATAAAATCAAAGATTATAATCATAAATGGCTTTTTAGTAAATAGGCCACGTGTGAAAAGAATAGAAAAGGGAAGCCAGAATTCCATGCGTTATCCAGAAGAGCTTAGGATCTCAGAAGATGAACATCTTCATTTTACATCTAGGTAACCTACACTGACACCAACACCAATGTAATGTTTTCTCTTTTAAGTAATCTCATTCTCGTATTTAACTTAATTACAAGTACTGTAATTGAAAAGTCTATAAAGTTTCATTTAGGACAAACACTGATTTTTACCAGAGCTACTTGAAATAACAGAAAACAATAAAAAACCAAACAAAGCCCCACACATCCAAAAAAACCACCCACATAAATAAATCCAGGACCAGTGGTGAGTTCTTTGACTGTGGACAGGTAGATGCAAGTAAAGCCAATGCCCCACAGCAGAACATTTATACAACAGCATTAACTTAAACAACAGATAAGAAGTCATCTACCCCTAATCACTTCACTTCCCAAGACAGCAAAGCATCCGACCTGCTTTTTAGGGAAATGCAAGTCATTTTACAATAGAAAAATTGAAATCAGAACTTCACCTTTTTACTCAGATTCATGTTCTCCATCTTTGCCTTGAGTAGTTTCATTTTATTCATAGTAATTGAATTCTCAATAATCTGTTGTCCAGAAGGTGATGCCTCTGTCTCATCTTCATCATCAGCGTATAAATTATAAACTGAACCACCACTGAAAATAAAAGAAAGTTTGTGTTCATCCTCAAGTAATTTAATCATGTTTTCAATGTAGAGTATTCTCACAACTAGAAAGTCATATCCGCAGTTGATCTGTTGACAAAGCATTATATAAAACTGTACGCAAAGACATTTCAAAGCCATTTATTTTAGCACATAAGCATTATTTTTTTTTTTATTAGATGCTCACGCAAAGTGATGACGCTGAAATCATAACATAACCACGCTTCTGGGAAGCTGTTATACTATATACAGTTGGTTCACACTCACTATATATTTTCCCCACAGGGGGGATATCCAGTTCCACAAATGTCTCCTGAAGGTATGGCCAAAGCTGTTAACTGTGGGACTCAGACAACAAGCTGATCAGTTTTCCAATTAACCAGACACTGGCATGGAAGGAAAGTCCAAATTTCTATCCATCCTGAGGGGTGTTCTCACCATAAATGGAAATGGAGGGGTCACCCGTGTGGATGTGATATTCTATTTCTCCTTTTCAAAATAGAAAAAAAAATAAAAAAAGGGTCAGTTTAGGTGTCCAAAGAGACTCACATTTGGAAAAAAAATAAACAGATTAGAATTGCTAGACCCAAGACAAGATATTTTAACTCAGTAGTCGCTGGAAATGTACAGCATCACATTGCCTTTCTCCATTCTGCCTTCTAACAGAATGCAAAATCTCAATGTTTTAAAGTCAGCATCTGACTTGTTTTTCCTATGAAGCATTAATCACCAACACACATCCAACATTTGACAGTGAAATGAAAGAACCACTAGGAGCGTCCAATTCATTACAAATTGATGCATTTTCAACACTGTATATAGTACATTTTAAAGAGTGTTTTAATTCTTCCATTAGGCTGTCAGCATCTAGAAATCATGACAAACAGGCAATTCCCCTGTGTTCGCACAAACGTCTTAGTAGATTCAACTAAAATTTCTATTCTCCAAAAAGAGATCAAGGAAGAACTAAAGGTCATAAGAAAGTCAATACCAAAAATAAAATTAAAATTATCACTAATTAGAGCTGGCATCTTACCTGATTCTTGGAAATATTATGCTGCCCTCAGTCAAGAGCCAGTATTTTTGCACTGACTCTCCAAATCCATTTCCTAAAATGTAGCAAAATTCCAAAGGCAGCAGAGCTGGGAGAAAGATCTTTTAAGAGCAAGGTGGCAGCAAATTCAAAGTAAGCGTCAGCAAAATAGTCCAGTGGTTTCTTACCAAAACCTGAACACCTCTCCTGGTAAAGATCCAACACTACAGAATCATTTCAGAATTTTAACTCTGCAAAGACTTAAGCCACCAACTCAAAACACTTACTTGAACTTCCCTTCTTTCAAGGTAAAGATAGAAGGAAAAGTGATGTGCCTCATGTTTGGTTGGTTTTGATTTTTTTTTTAAATCCAAAAATAATTTTTATATTTTTTCTTGCATTTTCTGGCTAAACAGGAGCCAAAAACATTAAAAATAACAACAAAAGGACTTATTTGCTTTAATGTGATTGCAAAATTAGAGAAGGTGGCTTTGTTCTCGATGACACTTTCAGCCAATTTTCCAACAGGTGTCAACTTTCCTGAGATCTTGATTGTAAAATGTGGGTCTCAAAACCCACCAGTAGCTTGTTGAAACCCTTTTGCCACCCATGCCTCCTAGTCCTCTACCACAACTTCAACAACTTGCTTTTCATTCAGAGACAATAATCATTCTAAGTATTTACATCTTGTCAATTTTAACCATTCACTTAACTGCAGATAAAATACAATGATCTGGAGAACTATAAAACACTATAAAATCCAAACCAATGGCTCATTTATAAATTGCAGACACTAAATTCTGTTCCACACACAAGCAACGTGAGAAAAGCGGATAAACAAGTGCCTCAAAATGCTCAGTCACCAGTATATCCACACATAGAAACACATTTAACTGTCAGAGTGGAAAACTCTAGCATTGAGTCATTCATAGCCTTTCTCTATAAAGATCAAACGAAAAGGCTCCATTTGTTTCCATTTTCTCCTCCCTTTGCTATTCTTTTTTTCCACTTCCCACCAATCTGACCCGGCCATAGTAACAAATCCAAAATTAAAATTCTTCTCCACCCGCCAAATTACCATCTGCCTTAGCAGAAAAGCTAATAAATGAGCTCACGTAGAAAGCTCAGACAAAAAGAAACAGGTCAAGCTGAAAGTTTTCTACTCAGGTGGCTTCCAACCTAAATGAATCATTTGACCAGCGACCATTTCTTAAGTGTAATGTATTTGATTTTCATACGTGCTGTTGTGCTGTGAAGGTCTTACCAAGATGCCTTGAAAGAGCCAAAAGACTGTGGTTTATTCCTCCACTTTGCTACATTTAGCCAATCTAAAGAAAATCACTCTTTAGTCTATAAATTAGCATTACCTAATTGACAAGTAATAATAATTTCAGATGATTATCCATGTTAGCGTTAAATGGGAAAAAAATAATTGTGTCACACACAAGAATTTGAACATGTAGGGAGATACCAGGAATCCCATTACACTGAAAAGATGAAGTTCAAGCTCCTTCTCACAGCTTCTTGCATCAACTGACACTACAGCACCCACAGTCCTGGCTCTTTGGATGGGTTTGGATGTTCTTTGGATTCAAACGGTAAAAAGGAACAATTTGGTAATAGACAGGGTATCAGTGAGAACAGGAATTCTAGGCTGCACCAAAAGAAACATGGCCAGCAGGTCAAGGGAGGCAATTCTACCCTCTACTCTGCTCTTGTAAGACCCCACCTGGAGCACTATGTCCAGCTTTGGAGTCCTCAGCACAGGAAGGATGTGGACCTGTTGGAAGGAGTCCAGCACAGGGCCACAAAGATGCTCAGAGGGATAGAACACCTCTCCTATGAGGACAGGCTGAGAGAGTTGGGGTTGTTCAGCCTGGAGAAGAGAAGGCTCCAGGGAGACCTAAGAGCCACTTCAAGACCCTAAAGGGGCTCAACGAGAGATGGGGAGGGACTCTGGATCAGGGAGGGGAGCCATAGGATGAGGGGTAATGGTTTTGAACTGAAAGAGGGAAGATTTAGATGAGATATTAGGAAGAAATTCTTTGCTGTGAGGGTGGTGAGACACTGGAACAGGTTGCCCAGAGAAGCTGTGGCTGCCCCATCCCTGGAGGGGTTCAAGGCCAGGCTGGATGGGGCTTGGAGCAACCTGGTCTGGTGGGAGGTGTCCCTGCCCAGGGCAGGGGGGTGGAGCTGAATGATCTTTAAGGTCCCTTCAAACTCTTAAGCATTCTATGATTCTGTAATTACATCTTTCTAGAAGTGCATCTAGGCCAGTGAAGCAGTTCTCGGTTCCTACTGATGTTGGTGAGTTTCAGCCATTTGAAATCTACACACAGTACCTTGTGTCACCATCCACTGAAGAGGAGCACAGGGATTGAAAGACAAGACCACAGATCTAAAGTATTTGCAGTTTTCCCCTTCCTTCCATCCAGTAATAGTACATCACACACTGGCTCCTTCTACTCTGTGTAACTATGTGGGAATTCAACCTTGGTATTTCATGCAGCCTGTAGTTTTAAAGTACAGATCTCTTATAAAAGTTTGTAAGAATAATACCACTCTGAACCACACTTAGCGTAAACCCAGTAAAAAGCACTTCCTTTCACTTTGCAAACAGGAACAGGGAGAGATACATAGAACAGCGCAAGCTCAGCCTCAGAAAAGATACAGCCAGTCCCCAGAACAGGGACTCCTTTCCTTACAGTTGTACTACGTTTTTCAGAGGATAAAAAAAAACCTACCCAAACGCTGCAGTATAAAGACAGAATAGTGTAATTTTTAATAGATATTATCAATTTTGATAGCTTTAGGAGAAAGACTAATAATCTGTTTACTAAAATGCAGTTGCTGAAGTGATATGCTTGCTCTTCTGATTCGGTGACAGTGATTGAGACAAGTTTGGTACCTCAGCAGTAGCTCATTTGAGGCCTAATTATGTCCAAAGGCTAGCTCTATTGGTAATTATTTCAGTATATCTAAAAAAACAAAACAGAAACAACAAACGCCTGGACAAAAAAAAAAAAAACCACCCACCAAAACAAACCAAAAAACCCCACCCAGAATTAAAAACAAACAAACAAACAAACCCCAAATAAACAAACAATAAAACCAATCCCCAAACCTCCCAGTTTCTCAGAATTTTGCACTGCCAATCTACTATCTTCCTGCCATATCATGGAGCCAAATCATGGACATATGAGCAAGAAAGTCTATGCTGTGATAAAGGTTTATAAACCCAAACAAATGCCTTAAGATGGAAGAGAAGGTACGTAGCATGAGTTTTTAATATCTTTATTGACAAATCAACTGTTCTGTGAAACGTTTCCTTTTAGGAAGGGATGTTGAGAATCACCTGAAGCATGAGGTTGGCTTTATCTCTCTCTACTGACACACACAGTGACAGATGACTGTCAGCACGACCACTGACCACAAACTACTACTGTGCTGTTCGGCCACCAAGTTACAGCATTTTAGTAGCCCTTAGGGCACAATCCTTGCAACAATAACACAGAAATATTCCACATATTCTTTTGACAAAGTCAACTCATAAAGCTGCAAATTATACGGCATCCCCCTTTTGAAGAAGAATATAAAGATTAAAACCAACTTTACCTCAAAGATTCAGATAATGGTGTTAAAGTGCCATCTCCCCGATCTACCACACGGAAGAAATTCAACTGATCTCCTTCTCGATATACTAAGAAGGTCACTTGTTTGTTGGATGGTGCTTTCTCCCAGATCTCATCTCTGCTGGGATCCATGTATTCAGCCATCTCCCTGATAGGGTCTTCCACAGGAACTAGAAAGAGAAAAACCAGAATAAAACCAAATTATTATTATTATTGTTTTGATCATCTTTGTGAGTTCCCATTGTATAATGAGCTGAGCTCTCAACCTCACAAGATATACTGAGTGTTTTCCAAATTAAAGTTATCAAGGAGATTTCTCCAGAGAGGTGGTGGAGTCTCCATCTCTGGAGACGTTCAAGCCCTGCCTGGACACGTTCCTGTGCAACCTGCTCTGGGTGACCCTGCTCTGGCAGGGGGTTGGACTAGATGATCTCCAGAGGTCCCTTCCAACCCCATAGCATTCTCTGATTTTGTAATTTTCATTCCTCTATGCATGATCCACATAACCAAGTTTATCATCAAACTGAACCAACACCTGGTTCTTACTAATCAGATTTTAAAAATTATTTGTGTAATGACATTGCAGGATCATTTTTCTGCAGGTGAAGAATTTCTGATTTTAAGACTTGATGATTGTACACATAGAATCATAGAATTGCCCAGGTTGGAAGGGACCTTTTAAGAATGAGTCCAACCATCAACCCAACACTGCCAAAACCACCACTAACCCACATCCCTCAGCACCACTTCAGCCTGGCTTTATATACCTCCAGGAATGGTGATTCCACCTCTTCCAATGCTTGATAACCCTTTCAGTGTAAAGGTTTTTCCTAATATCCATCCTAAACCTCCTCTGCACACAAAGATACTTGTTTAAGGGTAAAAAAAAAAAAAAAAAATAGGAAAAGGATGCTGTACTTGGTGTGCTAAGGAAGATGGAAAAAACCCCACATACCTCTTCTGGTGTTAATAGGTCCACCTCGCATAGCCAGAACTAACTTCAGGGTGCAGCCTTCTGAAATGCTGTAAATAACAATAAAGATATTTTTGCAGCATTCTCTATTGCTTATGCCAACCATAATTTAGAAACATTTGTTGCAATTTTATTCTATACTTACTTATAATCATTCAAACAATAGTCATCCTTCAGCTCCATATTATTCCAAATTAAGTGCTGCTGAGAGACAGGAATACCTAAAAAAACCCAAACAAAGAGTATTAAAATTTGAGGGCTTTGGGGGAGTTTTACTTTCTGAAGAATGTGGGGGTAACAGAGTAAAAAGGATCACAGGGGAAAGAAGAAAGGAAGCAGAACAAGGACAGGCAACTGAACAGGCTCCACTCATGACATTCAACCTCCCAAACAGTTTTTAAGAAAAAATTTAAGGTTTTCAGTGGGCTTCTGGTCATGCTCGGAGCTCAATCTTTTGGGTCAACAAGGGTTTCAAATTTTGGATAGAGTACAAACCAAGACAGTTACAAAAAGGTGAGACAACTTGGATCATCAAAGAAAAATATAAAAAAATTAAGTCTAATAGGAAGATGAATAGCTGTATCTTTTGCCTTTGGAAAAAAAATAATCTTCCCTTCAGCATCAAAAGAAGTGCTATTGTTCAATTTCTCTACTGAAATCAAGGTAATTAAAATCTCACTGTGCATTCCTGACAAATTGTAATTAAAATGAAAACCTACAGAGCCCAAGAACTACTTTTTCAAAAAGGTCTAAACATTACTCCTCAGACTAAGAAAGAAAAGCTATAAATATATTTTCCAAAAAAGTTACATTAAAGTAACCTCATCCCTGTGCAGAAGAGGGATTGCACTTTGGAGGAACCGTCATTGTCATTATGTGAGTTTTAGAGAAGATGACATATCCCTTTTCTTACCACAGCTTACATCTAGAGCTGCTCTTTTAAGAATGACACACAACTGTACTTCACTTGGATGGCATTTAACGTGAATCTTGTATCCTCTGAAGTCCACAAGACATTTATGAGGGGAATATGTTCATACAGTAGACTAATATAATTGCTACTAC